GAAGTCAAGATATAAAATATTTTAATAGGGTGTGACGTAGAGCAGGAGCGACGTACGTGTGGGTTTCAGCGAGGTGAGTTGAAGCCTGTTTTTTTCTTCTGAGAGAAGAGGAGCTGAGTCACATGGGCGACAATGCTTGACGCGTAAGCTTTAATACTATCCATTAATTCTTCTTTTTCGTGTTTAGTAATATTTCTTCGTTGAATACTGACACTACGAGGGTGGGGAAATAGCGATTCTTTATTCACTCATTTGCTTAGAGCATCATCATAGGTAGAAACCTGGATTGTGTGGTAAACGAATCTTGTTTTCTTTTGTGACCAACGCAGTCGAGCAGATTCAATATATATTTTTCATTGCGTAGGCTGAAGCACTGGTGTACGTTACGATGTGAAATGGTTCTGGTCAAATTTTCATCTTAACTTTGAGCTAGTTACTAGTCATTTCTAGCAAGAGTGTGGATGTGTGGATTTGAGGAGAAGGCTTTGATTTTTTTTTAAACTTTCCCTATAGACCTGGAATTCCTATATTAATGTATTGGTTTCAGACCATAATTTTTAAAAGACGTGGAAGGTAAAGGGTTCTTTCCTCAACTAATCCAATTGCCCTTATAAATGCATGGTTTAATTGCAGTAACCTTGCTGTCTTAATGTGGCAACAAGAAGTGTGATTAATCCTCTGCCTCTTGGAAAACGAGATCTTCTGAACGAAAATGTCTGGTTAAATACAAAATAAAGCATTCAACAAAAAAAGAGGGAGGGAGGGAGGGACAGGGCATATTGCTGTCAGTAAGACGGTTATACTGCATTTATACGTACCTCTAAAAGCTCATTTTCACCTGACTCTAAATAGCAGTTCATATCTGGTACAAATCAGCAGCTAACCGTAATCAATATGATCTCCAAGATGGAAGACGCTCCTACAACAACCTGTATGAAGAAGCTTTTGCCAGTGCTGAACTCAAAACTATGAATTATTGCGCCACCATCTGGTCATTACGTACAGTGTCGCAAAGAAACTTTGAACATGAAGACACACACGGTGCTGCCGCAAATGCTCCAAAATACCAGAAAACATAGCGTAATACAATGAGGTTGTCTGATTCTTCATATACCAATTTAAATAAGTGTACGGAGGGAAATATGTCTTTAAAAATGACTTTGACATGGGAAAAAATAAAACACCAGTTTTACAGAATTAACACAAACCGTAAACAACATACCAAACAAGTTTATACAGCTGATTAATCACTGAAACGTCTTCATACATATAGCAATATACACACTTCATCCTATAGCAATGAGGAAACCCCCTTTCATTCTTGCTGAGAATGAACAAGTAAACTACTTTTCAGTTTAAAAAATAATAATAATAAAAGACGCAAACGTACCTCATACAGGTCCGGGTAAGCGTAGCATCAATCTAAAATAATAGATCATTCAGTTCTGACCGAAATCTGGCGAGATTTTAAAGCACACACACTGACTAAAACAGTGACTGGCGGTCGGGCCACCTCAACTCCACCTGCAGAGCGGGCAGTAACTGGATAAGCGCCGCCTCTCCGAATTGCCTCGTGTTCCAATTAGTTCTCATGCAGGAATAATTAATTTAATTGTCCTGTCAAAGCTGGGCGCTCCGGAGAGGCAACAGCTGTTTGAAAAGCGGGTTAGGATACCCCCATGTAACATCCTTCTGGCGTGCTACGTATTGAGTTAAACAAGGGGTGAACTTTATATTAGCTGGTGATTTTAACAAAATTAATAAATAATAAATGTACATAAAATTAAATCCCTAATTGTATTGGTAGGCAGTGCCTAAGAATTAATCACGCCAGCGTGCCAAGTCCTGTCCTCCGTTACCCACAGATCACTGTAAGAACAAGGTGATGTGCTTAACACAATTCTACTACCTGTCCTGTTTCTGCGCTGCGTGGAAACCGCTGACCGCTGGTTGTTTATTTTATTTTAAAAGCAGCAGCTTTTAACCCAATAACTTGAAAAGTCTCGTCATTTTTTAGAATAAAATCAACCCCCCCTTTGATTCACAATACAAAATAAAGAATCTAGTCCATTTAAAAAAAAACTACATCATTTGTGAACTTAAACGTTTTCAAAAGCGTTCCTCTTATGCAGACAAATTTCAAATGGTAAGGGCTTGCTTTAGACTACCCTGTGTGGTGTGCAACTTATTTTTTCATCAATTATTTTTTTTCCCCATTTACGTTGATTAAAGAATACCACATAATCACTGTGTGCATTTGTTAAATGTGTTTCTCACATTTTAGTGCATTTAAAATTCCTCACACTCTGACAACGGAGTTCAAATTCTACTTTTGAGATTTGCTTGGAAAGGTGAGGGGATACAGTGTGGGATCAGTTTATGAAAGCAGCATCATACATCCCTGAATCTGAGCCTTCCCTGGATAAATTCAGATGAGCAAAACCTGGTTAGGAGCTACTCCATCCTCACGTTAGCTACTGTGGTAAGAGAGAGATCAAAATGAAAAGAAAATGGCTTCTAACAAAAAGAACCACATGACCTCTCAATTTTGCGTTATAATAATCCTTACAATTATATAGCTCTTTTCTGGACACTCTGCTCAACCACCACCAGTGTGCAGCCCCACACCCCAGCTCTCAGTGGGGAGGAGAGCAGAGTGATGAAGCCAGTTCAGAGATGGGGATTATTAGGAGCCCATGATTGGTAAAGACCAAAGGGAAATGGGGCCAGGACACTGGGGTAACACCCCTACTCTTTTCTAGAAAAACCCTGGGATTTTTAATGACCACGGAGAGTCAAGACCTCAGGTTTATGTCTAATTCCAAAGGATGGCACCCATTAACAGCATAGTGTCTCCATCACAATACTAGGGGTACAAGGACACACAGAGACTGCAGGGTGAGTGCCCCCTACTGGTCCCACTAACACCACTTCCAGTAGCAACCTTAGCTTTCCCAGGAGGTCTCCCCTCCAGGTACTGGCCAGTCTTACACCTTCAGAGGGTTGCCAGTGAGTTCCAGGGTGATATGGCTTCTTTTTCTTCTCTCTTTTTCCTTTTGCCTGGTGTACTGGGAGCAAGAGTACTGCCTTCATACTGAGGTGCCACTGGTTGGAGTGGGCCCAATCATACAATGTAATGTTTACATTTAATACGTACAGTGTACAGTTTCTAAGCAGTTAACCAGTCCTTTGCTCAGAATGGAACTAATCAAGGTTTCTCCAGTGTATAACGGGTCCGTGCCCACCTACCTGAGAATGGCACAGCTGTCCTCTTGCGTATTCTTGCTTTAAGATCTGCTGGGGGTAGAATAATTTTACCAGACATCTTTTACCCACAGGTAAAGCCATTTCAACAGGCAATAGAAACCTCACACAAATCACTGCAATGCACATCACTAAAGACAGAACAAGGCGGGTTTTCAGCCGAGATCTTTAATCCAATGCTCACGTGGAAGGCTCTGACAGCTTCACTACAACCTCTCTCGTGCAAGGGGGTGAAAGGCAAGGAAACAGCAGCTCGACAGTCAAGGGTTAGTCTTCCTTGAGACGGCTGAAACATAGTCAAGTTACAGAGCAGCAACAACCATGTTTTCTTAAGTTGCCAGTAGCTGGTTCCCCCTGTAGGCACTAACCACCACCAACTGCAGTGAAGAACAAAATTCAGCTCTGATTCAACAGACATCCATTCACACTGGCCAGCTCAAGACTGCACACCCTTAGCCCTAGATGTAGGATTCTAATCGGCCACTTTGTCCTTCTTCCCAGTGGAGACTGATACACCCAAATACGGGGTGTCTCATTTACGCCAGGTGGATCGGTGTAGGTGATCTAGGGCTCAGCCGTCCAATAAATAAGCACACCTACTCGTATACAAACTCAGCAGCTGAAGATGGTCAGTCTGGTTTCTGACGCACACAAAAGAGGAAAGAAAACAGTATTTACATAGGAAACAAAACAGTACAAAATCGAAAGTTTATTACAGTATTTTGGGTTTTTCAGCTATTCATCCCCAGCGGTGACAAAGGGTGACAATAACAGGTTCCAAAGGAAGAGGAATCCTGTATTGTCAAGTCGAGGTGGGAAGCAAAGGGAGTCTCCTTGGAATTCTGCTTAGGGGGTAAGAGCATTGGGAAAAACTGGCCTTTCGTACATCCATGATCGCACACGACCCAGTAGAAATGAGGCAGAGATACATTTCAGAGTCCTAACGCCCTAAGTCGTCGACAGAATTTTGAGAGAAGTGCAATGTGCACACGGGGGAGGCAATGGGGTTTTCTGCAAAACTGGCCTGGGGTTGGGGTTTGCGTTGCTCACAGCTACACCTGAACCAGAGAACAAGGGAAGGGGGGGGTTTGGGAAACATTCTGATTGCATTAGAAAAAACAAAACCAAAGTAAAAAAACCCAAGCCCAAGGGACTTCCCTGCCCAGGCAGGGGTCAGAGCTCGTCGTGCCGCGGGGGCTCGGAGCTGGGCTTGATGAAGACGCCCTCCATGGTCTTCCAGTAGGCGTGGTGGCTGGTGCCGGCCATGCCGTGGACCTCCCTCTGCCCCTTGATGGGGTGCCCGTACTGCTCGCCGGTGACGCTCAGGAAGACGTCGGTGCCCACGTGCTTGAAGCGCACCGCGTCGTCCCGCTCCCAGTGCGCCCCGCTGCACTGCACCGCCCACACGTCCAGGTCGTCCCCTTCCCCGTTCTCCCCGAAGGCGCTCACCTCCTGCAGGGGGGGGACACAGGTCACCCTCTCTGCCCCTCAAACGCCCGTGCCCGCCTCTTACAGAGAGCCACCACCCCAGGCACGGCCGGCTGGCATCCCCCCGATTGCTGTGCCAGCCTGAGATCTCCTTCTATGGTGGGTCCAACTGTTTAATCCACCCATGCGATTTCTAATCTGAGTATCCAGTGCAAGGAGCCTATCTCGGCAAGAAACAGGCACCAGGCAGGGACGCCAGTCTCTCGCAGGGCAGACACACACACTCCCAGAAGCCAAATAACCTGCCAGCCCTGCCAGCATGTTTGTGGATTGTGAGGAACCCAGAGTCCTGCTGTAAAACCAACTGCATAAATGCAATACTGGTACAGTGGGTATGAGGTGTTTTATACATTCAAGAGGAACTACCATGCTATTTTTACATTTCCAGGTTAAAAAGTATCAGCACCGATGCGTGCATTTCAAACAACAATGAAAGTAAAACGTACACAGTAACGTGTAAAACCTCCGATTTACATCACAAAATAGCCAAATTTTCCAGGTTTGCGCAGCGCAATATTCTGCGATTCAGAACGAGGCAACAAAAGTTCCAGTGTTTACACTGTGAACAAGCAGGCTTGTGAATACATCTCTTTAATTGAAAAATATTGCTCTCAATTTCGAGAAGCTTTCGCCGACAAATACTACTTGCTTTTTAACTCTGCCTGCAGATCCTGTTGGAACATTTCTACGGTGAAATGTCTGCACATTTGCACAACCTGTACTTATTCACTCGCATCACATTACATTAGTCATGACAGTGACTAGTGAGCAGGAAGGGCCTCATCACTCCACAATTCATGACAAGACAACGATTTGTGACAAAATGACAACATACACACAATATTTGGACAAAAGTCATGATTTTGTGCTTAATTCAAAATTGGATCAATTTTTCTGTACTGGCCGTGAAAATGTTTTTTTACCAAGATATAGCAACCGGCCTGAGAAATTGGATTGCAGTTCCTCTTTAATGAAGTGAGCCTTTTGGTGTATCAGCATCCTTTATGCGTCTTAGAAAATAATTAGGCTAACTGTTTAATTGACTTCTCAGGTTGGAACAAACACCAGCAGGTACCAGTCCCTCCCTTGGAGCTGAGCTACAACCCTCAAGGGATAAGAGCCTTATGGATGGTGCCGATTTAGGCCAGCTAAGCAATTAAAGAGAAGGCCCTCAGGTGGAAGAGAGCACAGAGAGCTCTGAGACTCTCAACGACCAGCAGTCAGTCTTGCAGGCTTCAATTGATGGCTTATTTAAATTCTGGGAAACATCACTCACATCTGCTATGGCTATATCAAATGATTTAAGCAGTTTTTGCTCAGATTGATTATCTTTCAGTTTTTAAAGCTAGACTACTGCAGATCATGAATATGTACAGTTCAACTCCCTACGGCAGTACTGTTTCAGACTCCGCACTTCTGACTAGGTATAGGGAAATGTTCTCTGAGAACAATCCAGTCTTTTTAAAATGACTTATATCAGAGTCGTGCTACTCATAATTATACAGAAGCACATGTAAATCAGCATTTCCCAGAATCCAAGCCAAGAATCCAGCAAAATTCCTCTGTCAGAAGGACTTTTTACATTACAGCTCAAATATCCATTCAATTTTAATGGCTGCTTTTAGCTAGAACTTCTCCCCTGTGTCAGGAGTCTCGGGACACAGAATACTCTAGAGTGAACATCTGTAAAGCACATCTGCCCGCTGTGAGGACGCTCCAGCACAGGATGAGGCTGACAAGGTGACAGCAGTTCAGGTAGGGAGCTGCGTCAGCATGCCTAGGCTGCGGAGGAACAGGTGAAGGTTTATTCCAAGCTCAAAGGTAAAGAGACCAAACGTTTCGGCTGTGGAGCCTTTTCCAGGGGTCTCAAGGTGCCTGGAAGAACGCTCTGCAGCCGAAACGCTGCGTCTCCCCTCTTCCTTTAACGCGCAGTAAACCGGTACCCGTTCCCCGACCAGGCAGTCCCGGGCGCGAGGCCGTACCTGGTTTGCGGACAGCGGCGAGACGAAGTGATGCGTGTGGAGGTTGCGGCCCGTGTTCATGTGAGTGAGGCGGATGGGCTGGCCACACTTGACGGGCGCCCCTCGCTGGCAGGGGGCGTTGGGCTTGCCCCGGATGCGCCAGTAGCTGTTGGCGTCGTCCGAGTTTTCAACTCCAGTCACCGACTGCTGACCGCTACCTGCC